TCCCTCTCTCGCTGTGTCTCTCTGTCAAATAAATAAATAAAATCTTTAAAAAGAAAAGAAAAGAAAAGAAAAGTCACAGAGAGGATCCCTCCCACCGAAAGGCCTCCTGATCTCTACCACCAAAGATTTCTCTAGGTTCTGTACAGCATCTTCAAAAGTCCCTTTTTGAAACAGCTTAAGTTTAGAAGGGATAGCAAATTAAGCTCATCAGTCATTTTATAAGGTTTATGTAGATATTGTCAGTTTTGAGTTTGGGTTGTCTTCTGGCTGAATGGGTCTCGGGGAGGGAGGAGCCACAAGACTCGAGAAGCCTAGGGTCCCGAATAATTGCACGCAGTGCAGTCCCCTCTCCCGGCCCCCACGGCCACCCTGCATGGGATACATGCCTCAGTAAGAAACTTTTGTCCCGCAGGACTGTTGAATCTCAGATCTGTACCTCTGAAACAAATAATGCAATATATGTTAAGAAAAAAAAAAAAAAGAAGAAGAAGAAGAAGGTAGCGGGAGGGGAAGAATGAGGCGGGGGAAATCGGAGGGGTGGACGAACCATGAGAGATGATGGACTCTGAAAAACAAACTGAGGGTCCTAGAGGGGAGGGGGTGGGAGGATGGGTTAGCCTGGTGATGGGTACTGAGGAGGGCACATTCTGCATAGAGCACTGGGTGTTATGCACAAACAATGAATCATGGAACACTACATCAAAAACTAATGATGTAAAAGGAATGAGATCTTGCCATTTGCAACGACGTGGATGGAACTGGAGGGTATTATGTTCAGTGAAATAAGTTAAACAGAGAAAGGCATGTATCATATGATCTCACTGATATGAGGAATTCTTAATCGCAGGAAACAAACTGAGGGTTGCTGGGGTGGGGGGTGGGGTGGGAGGGATGGGGTGACTGGGTGATAGACACTGGGGAGGGTATGTGCTCTGGTAAGCGCTGTGAATTGTGCAAGACTGTTGAATCTCAGATCTGTACCTCTGAAACAAATAATGCAATATTTGTTAAGAAAAAAAAAAGAAGAAGAAGAAGGTAGCGGGAGGGGAAGAATGAAGCGGAGGAAATCGGAGGGGTAGACGAACCATGAGAGACGATGGACTCTGAAACACAAACAGGGTTCTAGAGGGGAGGGGGGTGGGAGGATGGGTTAGCCTGGTGGTGGGTATTGAGGAGGGCACGTTCTGCATGGAGCACTGGGTGTTGTGCACAAACAATGAATCATGGAACACTTCATCTAAAACTAATGATGTAATGTATGGGGATTAACATAAGAATAAAAAAAAGAAATAAAAAAAAAAAAGAAACTTTTGTCGTGTTAAGGCGCTGAGGGGTTAGCCTACCTCAGCTAACACAAGTGTGTATCTGTGAGATACATTCTTAAAAGTAATATTGCTGAGCCATTTAAAAGTTAGGTGTTGCCCAATTGCCTTGTGAGTTAGTGCAACAGCGAAACTCCTACCAATAGTACGAGAGTGTCTGTTTTCCCAGCAAGTACATTACCCCACTTTTGGAGCTGTTCCAATCTGAGAGGGAAAAAAACCTTCCTTGGTGTTTAGCTTGCATTTCTTTTAACACATAGGAGGGTGAGCACCTTTTCAAATATTTGTCAGGCATTGGTATTTCTTTTTCTGTGTGCTTCCTGTAATTTGCCTATATTTTAATTATTTTTCTTTTCCAGATTAATTTGTAATAAAGCTTTATATAGTAGTTAGCCTTTAGCTGGTCAGATGTGCTGTAAATTCCTATTTATTTATTTGTTTGCCACACAGATGATTCTATCTTTTGTTCTTTAACGTAGTGAAACGTGTCATTCGCTTCATGTTTTCTGGGTAATGCCTTCCGCAATGTAAAAACATATAAATATCCAGCTATGGTTTGTTTTGGTGCACTTAACAGTTTCATTAAAAACATCCTCAAATATTTCTTCCACATCAACTTATTTTGATGTAAGGACTAAGGTCAGAGTCCAACCTTTTCTCTTCAATGGTTGTCTCATTGTCACTAAGACTTAATAATAATCCATCATTTTCCCCTTGACCAAAAAGAAAAAAAGAGCCATATTTACCATGTCGTAAGTTCCTGTATTTTTGTTCATTTCTGAACTCTGTTGTCTTCTATTGTACTGCTTCACAAATACTCTTTTAATTGCTTTCGTTGTATGACATTTTACTGAATGGATAGGGATACTCTCCACTTGACCTCTTTCTCAAATTTCCCCTGCCTACTCTTACATAGTTATTTGTCTAGATGATGTTTAGAGCAATTTAGTGATAATACAAAAACAAATTGTTTTGGTGTGGTTTTTGGAATCACATTCAGTTTATAGCTCACTAATGACATAATTGACATCTTTATATTACTGATTCTTCTTATTCAAGAAAACTACAGATTTCTGTATTTATTTCTAACTTCTCTTATCCAACTGAGATCCCACGGTCTGGGGTTATCATCACTCCCGTGGACACTGTATTAATTAGTTTCCTACCACTTCTGTAACCAACGACCACAAACTTAGTGGCTTAAACGACTCAAATTTATCATCTGACATTTCTGGAGGTCAGAAGTCTGAAACAGGTCTCGCTGGGCTAAAACCAAGGCGCCAGCAGGATTGTATCCTTTCCAGGGAGAATCCGTTTCCTCGCTCTGACTGTTCCTCCATAGTCCTGGCTCTCTCAGACTCAGCTGTAGCCTGGGAAAGTTTCTCTGCTTTTCAATAACCATGTGCTTGGCTCCGGCCATCCCAGATAAACCAGGATCATCTTGCTATCTCAAGGACCTTGACCGATCACATCTGCAAAGATTTGGGAGCGGGTGAGGAAACAGTCGCAGGACGTGGCCGTCTTCGGGAGTGCATTATTCTGCCTACCACTGATGTCCTCTCAACAGTCTTGTCCCTCTCTACCATCACTGAACTTGCCTAGAAAATCCTAACTCTGGGGAGAGGAGATTGGATTCACTAGGGCTGGGAAGTTTAAAGCGCGACGTGGTTATGTTTCGCTGTAGCCATGTTTAGCTGCCAGGATGTTTATTTTGCAATTTAAATTCCCAGCTACTAGCCTCAAATGGACCTTTCGGGCCACATTGCAATCCTGCAACACTGCTGGTCCATTGGCTCCCCTCTCGTCCGCTCCTCTCCTCTTTCCTCCAGCCTCCAGGACCTCCTCGCCATCCTCACTCCTAGCAGATGACATTGCTTCCTAGCTCGCTGACAGCGGAGAGGCAGTCTGGAGCAAAATCCCACGTGCTTGCCCACTGTCTTCTAATCTGTCTGCACCTGCGCCCGTATCACCCATGTCCACCTATCGTTATAGGTCGGGAGGTCAGAGTCTGCTGGTGCTCTGGACCCCACCCCTGCAGTCACTCTTGGAAGTCACCTCAGTCACTTCCCCACCATCCACTCCTCGATTCTTCCCTTTCTATGGGGAACCCCAGCAGCCCATGAATATGTCAGGCCATCATTCATCTGAGCCCTGGAAGCACCAGTCTCTCGGAGGAAGAGGGTCTCCAAACCGATACCCATAAACAAATGCCTACAATCCTTCTAGAGCGACAAAGAACAAAAGTGTGAGCTTGAGTATGTTTTCATTTTCATCATACCCACTGTCTCATTAGGCTTGCTATCATTTCTTTAGGTTCTAGGCCGTGGCCACTGTATTGCTTTTTCCTGAATAAATTATCCACACAGTGAATCTGACCCTGTTTAGAACCTCCACTTAGGGGTTCACATGCAACCAAATGGCCACCCTCGGACCAAAGCTGCCATCACGACACTCGGCGCTGGCCCTGTATTTGAAGGACCTCGGTTGATGTCTATAATCATCTGCCCCAAAGAAGAGCTTCAGAACTCTTGGGTGATTGATGTCTGTTTCTCTCCACCCAGCCACACGATTCCTTCTCTCCTCCATAAATAAGAAATCATTTGTAAATCATTAGTTCCTATTTTGATAGAAAATATCAAAATAACTCCTATAGCTCAAACGTCTTTGAACATCTTGATAGAGCAAATATTACCCTGAATATGCTAGGAACCACACAGTCTCAGTAACAACTAATGGAGACAGAGCTTCCAGCAGATCATTTTTATAAAACTGTTTGGTAAAGGTTATTTATTTAGTGGACTCTTTAAAAAGCAGGAACAAAGAGAAACATCAAATTAACTGGATTAAAAAACAAAGCTACAAAGAATGTTTGTTCCCTCGTATCTTATCTGATGTGCATCCAGTCTGGGTTTCATAGAACTTTTTAGAGTCATCATTCCCTTCACTACAAATTGGGTTTCCCGACAACATTTCTGTTCTGTTCAGAAACTGAAAGAACAACAAATCACCTTTGTGCTACACACTTTCACAAAGTATAAAGTACCCTTACAGAAGACGGTAAACATTCAAAAACACAATTTCATAGATTACAAGATTTCAAATACATGCGTCTTATCTTTACCAGAGTCAGGACCTGTATTTGTGAAAACTTCAGACCCTCAGGCCTGAATGGCTCCAGGGTCATGGTGGTGAACCTCAGCATAGACATGCCAGGTGAAAGATGATAAAAAAGAGTTAACATGAGTATCATCCCTGATTCTGGGTTAGCAGAAGGTCAAGTGACACGTTTTAATAGATTGCAAAAGCATTCTTTTCAACGGATTATTTTGAAATCCTGTTGAAATAGATACGGTTTTAGTTCGAGCTTGAAGTTGACCTTTCCAAAAGTCCTTTTTAATTGATTGTTCTGAAGTTATGTAGACTAGCGAGATACACATGGCTTTCCCTTTCAATAACTCAAGCTGACCTTCCCTTTGAATAAACATATTGGTTGACACATCAACTGTCCCCCTTGAACATGTCTTTCAAAGTGGACATTAATGCCAGCCAACAACCAAGAAGCTGTCGCTTCCTTCCTGTGTTGATGTCAGGTGTGAGATGAGTCTGCAGCTTGTGGCTTTGGCAAAACAGACGTTTGAGTCACAGCGTTCCCTGGCGGAACGGCGCACATGGCCTTACCTTTGGGAATGGTGATGGGACAGCTCAGGTCACAGTCCTGCTGCAACTGATAAAAAGCCACTTCCTGCAGCCGGGCTCGCTCCAGCTCTGAGAGACTCTGGATGGGGACGGATCTCAGCCGCACACTGCGGCCAGACATGCTGTTCCAGGTGAAATCACCCTGCAGAACAAGGAGAACACATCAGGAGTTACAGAGCTCATCTATGTCTCACAAAGCTCATCCTTCCTCTTAGTCAGTCACAGACTCAAGCAAACTTCCTCTTTGGGCTCCAAAGTTGTCTATCCATCGCTCAAATCAAATCTACTCTCAGCTAACCGTGAATTTTCTCAGTCCGTTGCAAACATCCAAATCTCTAGTATCTGCCGGATCACTTGATCTCATATAATGATTCACACAGAGGCCAAAGAAAGCTATGGGAAAGACATTGTGAGGGTCCTACTGCCTCTCTTCTCTGGGAACGCATGGGAACTTTTTGGTTATGTATCTCAGTCACAGGAAAAATTGCTGCCAGCAATTTTTCGTCATGCACACTGGATCCAGGAGGGCAAACGTATGGCCAGCCTACTGGGTGCCGGCGACAGTGCCGGGTCGCACCAACAACCTTATGAGGCCGTTACCATTTCTGACCCTATCTTACACAGTTCACCCTTGAATGACACGGGTTTGGACTACACAAGTCTGCTCACTTGTACTTGGATATTTTTGGATAAATACTGTACAGTACTGTAAATGTATTTGCTCTTCCTTATGTATTTCTTTTTTAAAAAAAGATTTTATTTATTTCAGAGACAGAGACAGAATGCAAGCATGCACGGATGGGCGGAGGGGCTGAGGGAGAAGCAGACTCCCCACTGAGCAGGGAGCCCGATGAGGGGCTCGATCCCAGGTCCCTGGGATCATGACCTGAGCTGAAGGCAGACGCTTAACCGACTGAGCCACCCAGGCGCCCCCCTTACGATTTTCTTAATCACATCTTCTTTTCTCTAGCTTACTTTATTGTAAGAATACAGTCTATAATACATACAATATACAGTAAATTTATGTTATTGGTAAGACTTCCAGTCAAGTAGCCTATTAGTAGTTAAGTTTTGGGGGAGTCAAAAATTAAACACAGATTTTTGACTGCATGGGGGTGTTGATGCCCCAGCTCCCACAATGCTCAAGGGTAAACTGCATAGTATTTAATAATACAGTATACTATATAATAATACAATCTAGTATATTTACAATATATAACATATTATTATTAGATATAATACATACTTATGATACATGATTATAATCCATGTGTATGATACGTTACAGTAATATTATAGTAACATTCAGTATATGTAAATAAATTATAATACAATGCAGATGAAATTGAGGCTTGCAGAAGTTAAGTAATTCTCCCCAAATCGTAGAACTTAACAAGATTTGGAACCAACCAGAACTCAAGCTAAAAACTTGTGCCCTCAACTCTCTGCTAAATTGTGTAACCGCTAAGCTTCTATTTACAGCATTCTGAGCTATTTTGATCATGAGAGGTACAGAGATATGATCAATAAGAACTATGTATAATTGCAGAGACATCTGATGTTCAAATCCTCCACATCAAAGAATCAAAGGCAAGACTCCCCCAAACCTGAGTATGTTCATGTGCACACGTACATCCAGAGGGTGAAGAGCTCTATCCTCCCTGCAGACGGCGAGAATGTGATGCCCCAAGAAATAAGACCTCAGGATCTTCTGAAGCCCAATGTTCCCTAACTGAGGAGGACTTCCTGTGACCCACAGATGTTGGCCACCGCCCAAGAGCTTTGAAACATCAAAAAAAGTGCCTTGACCATCAAAAAAAGTTCCAGGAGGAAGGAGCGGTGCTGGCCCCCATGGGCAGTACCCGGGAGCTGCTGTGCATCTGAGGAACCCTTAAGGAACCCCCTAAGACTTCACCATCCTCACAGCTCACCTCACAAAAGAGAGACAAGAAAGACTGGCCCCAGCAGCTCTTAAAGCACCTGCGTTCCCTCGTGGTAGCAAATTCCTGCCAAAATGTTCATTCCGAGAGTAAATGGCACCCTGTTAATTCTTGGATATTTTTCCCCTTTGATGTGGGGTTGCGTGTATTTATTCATCCATTTAACGGATGGAGATGTTATGCTCTAGCAGGGGCAGACAATCACCAGGGTAAGTAAAGGGTATAGTGTGTTAAATATGGTAATGGCTAGGGATGGACCAAAAAGCAGGGAAGGGGTCGGCAGTGTGAGGACAGGACACGATTTATGTTTCGGAGACAGCGGCCAGGAAAGGCCTCACAGGGAAGGCCACGTCTGGAAAGGAGTTAAAGGAAGTGAGGGCTTTTTGTTTGTCTTCACAAGTATGAGTCTGTATCCAGTGGATCATGGTGAGAACTAGCAGGAGCCCAGGCGGGGTTGGGGAGCACGATGTGGGGGACAATCTGGGCAGGGGAGTGAGTGAGCAAATCTAGGCAAAGTGGGTGACTGCTGTCACATCTGGTGAACTGAAAAGAATTCTTCCAGGCCCAGTATATTTTGCATTTTTTTCTTTCTTTTTTCTGTTTTTGGTATAATCGGAGGAAGCCCAAGTTTAGACAGGAGTTGGGGACTCACGCCTTGGGTGTACCTCTCACTCACACCCTTTAGGCTTAGGGTACCACAAGGTACAGTATCAGTGAATTGCATTTTTTCCTCCCAAACGGAAGTTCCAGATGAGTCGGTGACTTTTAAATATGAAGTTTAGGTATCTAGGAAAGCCCACTGCTATTTGAAGTGTCAAAATAGAATTACATGCCTATTCATTAAAAAAGCATTTAAGAGTGAGACCTCCAATTGGCTCAATTATCTATAGCAGGGGTTGACTATCTTTTTCTGTAAAAGGCCAGACAGTAAATATTTCAGGCTTTGTAGGCCATGTGGTCTCTGTCAAAACTACTCAAATCTGTCTTTGTGGCAGAAAGCAGCCATAGACAACTCATAAATGAATGAGTGTGGCTGTGTTCCAGTAAAACTTCATTTATAAGAACAGGTGGAAGGCTGGGTTTGTCCAGGGGCTGTGGCTGGCCAACCTCTGAACCATAGCTTATGACTGAAATAAACCAATCCCTATAAGATACATTTTATTTTTATTTGCTATGTCCTCCTGGTTAATTATTTTTTTAAAAATTTAATGAGCACCTATTACATGCTGAGAACACTACTAGGCTTGGGATTATCAAAGTGACATCACAGTCCTTGTCCTTAAGGAGTTAAACTTTAATAAGGAAAAAGCACAAACAATCCATCAAACATAGAGATTGTGATACTGGAAGTCAGTACCAGATGCAACGGGGTGTCTAGGAGAAAAGGTTCGGACATCTGTCTGGGGGATCAAGGAAAGCTTTCTCGAGAAGGTGGTGTTTCAGTGGAGACTGGAAGGTTGAATAAGAGGAGTGAAGGTTTGTCCAGTAGAAATGCAACATTGGAAAAAACAGTGGGTGCCAAGGCAAACTAATTTGAGAAAATGAGCTCATTTGGGGAAATTACAGGGTTGGAGGGAGGGAAATAGCGGGAGGTGAAGCCACGCAGAAGTCAAGGCCAGATCCTGGAGGGCTTTTTCTGCGGGCATTGCAAAGTAGATTGGACTTTACTCAGTAGGTGATGACTAGACATTAAGGAACCTTGAGTGCGAGTGGAGCCTGGTCAGATCTACATACGGGAAAGAGGACTGGAAACAAATTTTGAAAGAAATTGAGGGAGGGAGCACATCAAGCATGTAGAGATCAGCAAAGATGCCGAGTTAGGTTTGCTGCTGAGTCAAATTTGAATAAGTAGAGAGTAACACTCTCTAAGTCTCTAAGAGAGACACCTAGAACCACATACTACTCTTCTGTGATTTTTTTCAACCATTTAAAACCATTCTTAGCTTGGTGGTACAAAAAACAGCCAGCAAGCTGGATTTGGCCCACTGACTAGAGTTTGCCGATCCCTGATACAAAGAGATTAAGATCTTTTTTTTTTTTTTTTTTTTAAGATTTTACTTATTTATTTGACAGAGAGAGACGCGGCAAGAGAGGGAACAAAAGCAGGGGGAGGGGGAGAGGGAGAAGCAGGCTTCCTGCCGAGCAGGGAGCCTGATGTGGGGCTCGATCCCAGAGCCCTGGGATCATGACCTGAGCCAAAGGCAGACACCTAACAACTGAGCCACCCAGGCGCCCCGATCTATTTGTTTTTTAATGGCATCTTCTCTGTTTTCACATGGTCTTCTCTCAGTACATGTCTGTGTCCTAACTCCTCTGCTTATTTTTTTTTAAGATTTTATTTATTTATTTGAGACACAGAGAGAGAGAGAACGCACGCGCACATGCACGAGCAGGGGTGGTGGGGGGAGGGAGAAGCAGGCTCCCCGCTGAGCAGGGGAGCTTGATTCCAGGACTCCAGGATCATGACCTGAGTGGAAGGCAGACGCTCAGCCAACTGAGCCACCCAGGCGCCCCGATAAGGCTCTTTTAATATCCTGCACATATTTATTTAGCATCTACTACCATGTACCAGAGACCCTGTCCCAGGACCCTGCATCATGAGCTATATATATGGGCTAGATTCAGGAGGGCAAGAAACTCACCTGGTTTACTCACCTTGATGTTCCCAGTATTCAAGACAGTACCTGGCACTTAACTGTCAACTGAATAAATACCTGTCAATCTATGGACTAAACGAATCAGGTGCATCACAAGTTTAATAAGAAATTGGAAATGAACCACCCGTGTAATGTTTTATCTATGTGGGAGATGTCTTGTGGATTTGAATAAACTGCTAAGAAACAGTCTTTTGGGTTCCATGCTGGGCGTGGAGCCTGCTTAAGATTTGCCCTCTCCCCCTCTCTCTCTCTCTCTTATTTAAATTCAATTAATTAACATATGATGTACTCTCTCTCTCTTAAAAAAAAAAAAGAGAAACAGTCTTTTGAAACAGAGCCTGTTGATGAGCCAAAAAATGCCAGTATATGAAGGCAGAATATAAACATAATATCAGACCCGCAGAATAATGAATCCATAACACCCACGCTCACCCATCAGACCTCTCAGGAGCAGGAAGACATGAACACAAAGGTCGATATTGCCCCATGATCCTCATGACAAGCAGCCAGAAGAGTGCCAAAGCCCACCAGCCCAGCCTAGAATG